AATATTTATAACAAATTAATAATAAGTGTGAAACCCACATTGGTTACATCTATCAAAAAAAAAAAAGAGCCAAGCTTTCCCAAAGGCTAAGTTACATTTTGGGCTCGGTCATTTAGGGCCTTAACAATTTTTTTCAATGACTTTGAAAAATGGGCAAACACAACCTTAAAATTAATATCCTTACATTATTGGCTAATTTGTTCATTAAAATATCAAACTAACTGACAGTGTTCATTAAAATATCAAACTAACTTACAGTTTATATTTTAGATTATTGTAAATAAACCCAATCCTAAACATGTATTTATAAAAAAACTCACACACTATTTAAACATAGAAACACACCCAAAATCAATCCCAAAATCAATAATTGTATATTTTTTGGGTGTGTTTATAAATGGGTTTTGAGTGTGTGTAATGATGGATTTTGGGTGTGTTTATAAAATGTTTTGGGTGTTGGGTTTTTTTATAATTTCAACCCCCATTTTGGGTGTTTTAGTGAAACTCCCTTTATATTTTGACATAATGCAAAGTAGGAGTGAATACGGTCTGGATTGGATCAGTTTCACTTTAAAATAATGGTCGGACCAATTACAATATAACGATTTAGTTTAGTGCGGTTTTGACAAAAATTACAAAGAAAACATAACCAAGCCAAACCAATTAAACACGGTTAAGTTTGATTTGGTTTAATTCGGCCGGCTTGGGCCTAAGCCTAATTCTATTTCCTATTGCATTGTTTCAACATTGTTAGCCCAATTACAATAATTAAAAAATTCACAACTTGCACTATACTTTTTTCATTTTCTAGATTATCAAACAATCCTAAAACTCGACATGCCATAAAACTTCAAATTTCAATAACTAATATAGCTACAATTCAAATATCTATATATAGTTATTACCTAATTAGAGTACTACACATGTAAAATGAAAAAAAAATAAACAAATATATACACGTAGGCGGTCCAATTCGTTTTAGGCTGGTTATACAAACTCAAAATGAACAAAACCAAATTATATAGGCCCGATTTGGTTTTTAAACCGTTTGACTTTTTCTTGATCAAAAGCAAACTAAACCGGTCATTACTGTTTGGGTCGGCTGATTTCATTGGTTCAACCGAATTGATGCCCACTCCTAGTACAAAGTGTAACTAACCTTAAAATAAAGGCTTATTTAGCTACATGCCCCCTGTGCTTTGAAACTTGTCTCAGATTACCACATGAGTTTTAAAACGTCTCAAAGTACCCCCCAACCTTTAAAAAATGGTCTCACGTTACCCTTTCCGTCAGGATTATTGACGTTCCGTTACAACGTTTGGGCCCCACTTCGTTTTAATCTTTAACCTTTGCGAATAAGGGCTTTTTCACTTTCAGATGAAGAGAGGAAATATGGTATTTGGGTGAAAAGGGAGAATTTGGAGAAGGAGGCTAGGGCTTACCAAAATCTGTGGTGGGGTTCGAAATTTGGGAGAATGTAGAGAAGAAATCACGGGTTGATAAAACTCTGAGGTAGATTTCGAAATTGGGAAATTTTGGAGTAGAAGATTAGGGTTTATGAATCTTTGAGTGGAGTTCGGATTTGGGAAAGGGGGAAGGGGGTCGCACAATTTGGGAGAAAAGGGGGAACTGGGTCGCATAATTTTGGAGGTTCAACTGCTGTTCTCTCTGTGAATACACACTAAATTGAAGAATAGATGGAAACAGGAGAAGCAAGGCATGCCCAATGGTGTCATTGTGGGAAGTTAGCACAGATACAGACTTCGTGGACCAGTTCAAACTCAGGGCGGAGATTTCTAGTCTGCCCAAAGTCAAAGGTAAGAATGTTTTAGGTCAAATTTTCAGTTATTGTTTTGGGCATCACAAATTGATAGAGTTGTTATTGATGAAATATTCAGTCATTGATGAAATATTCAGTCATTGATGAAATATTCAGTCATTGATCAAATGGATCAAATTTTCAATTATTGTTCTTGGTTGATACAGGGAAGTCGTGAAAAAGGATGTGGGTTTTTTCAGTGGTTTGATGCAGAAATGTGTGAGCGTTCAAAGTCTTTGATACCTGGTTTGCTGAGGAAGATTGATAGGGTGGAGAAGGAAAATGCAAATATTCAAGCAAAGTCAAAAATATTGTGGGCTGCTATGTTGCTTTCCTGGGTGGTGGTGTTTGCCATTGTGATGAATTTGGATGAATTTGGATGAATTTGGAGGAATTAAGAGTAATATGTGTTGTAATTTGGTGGGTGTAATGTGATTGAGAAACAGTAGTTCAGTGGGCTGTAATTTGAGAACAAATGCTAATGTAATGTAGCAGTAGTTCAGTTTTGTGTAATATAATGTATTTTGGTGGGAAAACAATGTAGGGAAGTCAGACTCACTACTTTCAAGTACAAAACTATCACCCTGCTATTGCTTTTAGGTACCATGCTCATACAAGCTAAAAGTGTACTATCTGATATTATTTGAATAAGTCTTCCAGCTCCAAACTCTTCACCAAAAAAACTCACATCATACCCATCGCCATATCCCAAATCTTTAGCCATTCCAAATAGCTCTAACATGGACATATAGTCAACCTCACAATAATCAAACCAACTGACTTCACCACCCAAATAAGACCATTCACTGTCCCTTATATTTTTAACTAGTTTACCTCCATGGAAAAACTTAAATGTAACAACCTCGTCAGCATCTTTATCTGTGTAAGAGGAAGAGTCACTTAACAAGTCGATAAAGGTAACAAAGACAAAACAACTATAATATTT